CGTTCCCATGAAGCTATCTGCAAAGGTGTTGGGGCAGGGGTAGAGAAGGAGGCAGGCCCTCAGTGGCATCGCTGAGCCCTACCACCAGCCCTGACTACTTACCCCTGAACTTCCTGTTACAGAGGAGAACCCTGTGGTTCCCAAACCCCAGTGGGCATTGGAAGCACCTGAAGGGCTCATTAAGCCCAGGTTTCTGAGCTCTCCCTCCAGAAAGTCTGATTCAGAATGTCTAGATGGGGGCCGGAAGCAAGTTCCCAGGGGATGCTGCTGCCCATGCCCGGGGATCATGCTTTGAGAACTACTCAGAAAATTGTTTAGGCTGCCGTCTGTTGAAGCCACTGTTTTCCTAGATTCATACCATCCCCACTCATACACTCTTAACACCTCAAGAACTATCTACCTCACCTAATCTTTTACCTCCAGAAAGGGGCTGAAAAGGCATTTAACAACGAGGAGTAAATAACCAATGAGGTTTATAATGTACTAGAGGCCCGGTGCATGGATTTGTGCACCAATGGGGTCTCTCCACCTGGCCTGCAGTATCAGGCTGAAACTGGCTCTCCAATATCTCCGGAGGGGTCCTGAATTGAGAGAGGGTGCAGGCCAGGCCAAGGGACACCACTGGTGCACAATCTGCCAAGGAGGAATGTGGGAGGGCTCCATGCATGGCAGCCTGTCTTGCTCAGTCTTAATCAGCTAGGCCCCAGCAGTAAGCTAACCTACCCGTCATAGTGAGGGGTCGACTGTCTACCCCCTGGTGGTCAGTGCACGTCACAGTGAGCTGTTGAGTGGCTTTAGAATATCATTAGTATATTACTCTTTGCTTGATTGAACAGCTGACCAGTCAACTGGATACTTAGCATGTTAGGATTTTATTATATAGTATTTGGGTTCTGGTCAGAGAGGAATCATTAATTCAAAGAAATGAATCTTGGTGTTTAACTTTGGGGCATCATTGCAGCCAAATGCAATGATGACATATTTTGGAGCGGGATAACTTACCTGGAACCTCTGAAATCATACCAGAGACTCTCACCTTTTATAATTAAGGTGGATTTTCTCTGGCACATTTTCCTTCTTTCTAGAGGCAGTAGAATACATTAGCTATTGAACTTGGGGGAAAGGTTAAACTACTTGGTACCTCAGTTTTCTCATCTGTAAAATTGGAATGATACTCATCACAGGGGCTCATTGTAAGATGAAAGTGATGTGGGGAATTAGAAGCCACCTGAGTGTTCATCATTGGGAAGATGGGCCAGTAAGATGTGTGAATGAATATGACAGATGATTATGTAGCAGTCAGAAGCAAGAAAATAGTGCACAGCAGCAACACAGACCTTAAAAACACATTGCTTAGTGAATAAAGACATATGATGAAAAATTTTAATAAAAAAATAAAAATAGGTGCATACTCAAAAAGACTCATTATACACAGTATAAACAAAGATATGTATTAAATATATTATATTGGTTGACTGTGAAGGGCGAAGGAATGGGAGTAGGACATGGATATGAAAATGTTTTTAAAAAAGAAAACAAATGTCTATGAGGTTGACAAAAATAAAAGTATCTGATGATACCAAATTTTAATGGAAACATGGAGAAAAGGAAGCTCTCCTACCCTGTTAATAGGAGTGCAAATTAGTGCAAATCTGTGGTACAGCCTACTATTATTCCCAATATTGATTTCCCTTCTTCTACGAAGTTGAACCCTGATTCTGTAATCTGGCACATGGCCACTCAGAATAACTCTCCATTTCCCAGACTCCTTGGAAGCTAGTTGTGTCCATGTGAATAGGTTCTAGCCAATGGTAGATGATTGGAAGTGCCACTTGAAATTTCTGGGGAGTATCCTTAAACCAGGGGAACGTCTGGTCTGAGGGCCATATAAGGCCTGAGAAATCATTTGGTCTAGCCCTCATTAGGGGTGAGTTAATTAAATGTTTGACCAAATATAGCAGGCTCATTTTTAAGTTGATAATTTTGTATAGTCCTTGAATGATATTATAAATATCCAAATGGTCCTTGGCAGAAAAAAGTTCTCCATCCTTGTTTAAATGACAGGGTCTCCATAAATAAGTGGGGACAAAAGGGGTGGCAGAGTGAGATGGAAATGATCAGTCACGTCTAAAGGCTCCCTGTTAGTTGACCCAGCCCAAAATGCACAGCAAGTAAATAAAAAATACTTATGCTATCCTGGAAGGAAGAGGAAAATAGCCCTGGAATACACAAAATACATTATATAACTTGGCCTTTGGCATTGCTGTACTCTAAGAGCATGAAACTGTTAGGAGCGGGTAGCCTTAACCAATTTGAAGCGTTAGCACAGGGGTAAAAGAAGTTTTTATAATCACTTTCTAAGCCTCTGCTTCAGCCCGGAAATATATTAACCAAGATGGCGTTCCCTTTTTGTGCACTATTCAACACACGCATAAATAAATATCTCAGAGCTTGTTTTTGATAATTGTGCGATCTCTTGAAGAAAAAGATTATGAATTTAATTTAAGATTTCTCTTTCTTAAAAGAAAGAAAAGAAAAGAAAAGCTATATGGTTCTTAGTCAGCTGCTTGTTTCAATAACAGTTTGTCTACCACTAAAAACCGCAGCTCCACATCTGTTCCTAATAAAAATCTATAATCAGCAATGCCCATTGCCTTTCAAAACTTATTTTCTTCATCCCCAAACTATGCACAGACCTGGCCAAAGCTTATTTCTGTTGTCACCAAGACATAATGGCATTGCGTTGATTCCAGGATAAATAAATCAGCCGTGATTCCAAGTAGAATCAGTGTCAGCCACTTAGGCGATTGAAAATTTGAGCCTTAATTGCAAATTGACGTTTTCACTTATTAAAATGCTGGAGTATGCGGGTTTTTTGTTTTTGAGTTTACGACATTCAAACCTTGGTGATACTTTGTTTCAGGTCACAAGGCTAACAGACATTTGATAATAAAAACAGTCCCCATTTTCTGGAAAAAACAGACTCTGGAGGCAGCAGCCCTTCAGCACCCTCTCCACAAGAAACATTTACTTACAGAAATGGTGGACTTCGCATGGAGCCTGGAAGACAACAGGCCGGGCCACTATCTAGCTAAGAACGTCAGCTGGAACTGGCCTGTGGCCTGCAGGCTCCGGGATAAGAGGATGCGGAGTGGTCTGCAGGCCCAGTGGGGCAGAGTGCCCTGTTGCTCTGTGAGAACCAGCCCCTCAGGAAAAGATAAATGCACCTCGGGGTGAAAGTGTAGTGCCTCTTTTCCTGGCAGGGACAAACCCTATGTATTTTCTTTTTCCTCCGAGAAGAGTTGGTTTTCAATGTTTTCTCAGCTTTGAGCCATTTACAAAGAGAAGCATGTGTAGGGAGCTTCAGGAAATTTCTGTTTGTCCTAAAGCTATAGCAAAATAGGGTGAGTGTGCAGAGCAGTGGCTTGAAGCAACAGGAGACTCAGCGGGCCCAGTGCACAGTCGCACAGGCAGAGAGGGAGGAGGGGTCTGGAGCGGCTGTGAGACCCCGTAGCCTTGGGAGCCGCCCTGAGAGCTCCCGGCTCAGGATTTATAACTCCAGGACGACTAGCTTCACAGCTCAGCGGGGGACACCTACCATTGGTCACTGTAGACAATGCTATTCCTAGTTCTACTGCTTACATCTAAGAGGCATCTTTTAGCTACAACCAAATTATTAAAAGATGCTGAAAACAGCATATTCTCTTGTGCATTTAAAAAAAAAATAAAAAAAGGATGTGCATTTAAAAAAAAATTAAAAACCATAGTTTTTACACTCAAGGCCTATAGAGAGTGATATATTGACCAAGGCTTTGTGTGGGAGAGGGAGGGGGTCTAAACGCATGGAAGGGCATGAAAAGGGCTATTCGATATTGTAGGTAAAGGAAGATCCCATGGGAGAATGACTTCAGGATTTTTTTTTCTACCAGGAAACTCTCCTTTGTGAAGTGTAAGAACACTGGTTTAGCCCTAAATCTATTAGGGCTGTGCTGGTTTGTGCTCCTTTCAGTGAGTTTGTGTATAATAGGGGTGTCGAACTCAATCAGAGAAGGGGCCAAAATCTAAAATCCAGCCTAAATCGTGGGCCGAATGGTTTACTGAACAGTCATAAACTGTCATTGTGATGGAAACGCAGCGGAGTGCAGTGATGACAGCGCTGTGCGGGCCACATTGCAAGGCCTGGCGGGACGGATTTGGCCCGCGGGCCTTGTGTTTGACACATGTGGTGTATAAAGAGAGAAATAACTGGGCTTTATGCACCGATGTCAGCAGCAGATTGTCCCAGAAACCCTTGAGCAAGCTGGGATTGTGTTCCCAGGAGGGCGGAGGTAGAATTGCCTCCTGACCCTCCACGAACTGAAGAGTCAAAAGTAGCCAAGGGGCCGCCACACTACGGGAATCCCGGATAGAATGAGGAAGAGCTACAAGGTGTCCTGTGAGGCCAGAGACGGGAGGCCCCTGGCCCGGGCTGACAATTCCAGAGCCCTACCCCTCGTGTCCGTTTGCACAGGGACATCTGTGTTGGGTGCATGAGGTGAAGGGTGTTATTTTTGCATGGGCACCTGGAAGGAGAAGGGGAAGAAGAGGAGAAGAGGATCCAAGGTCTTCATTCCTCACCACCCTGAAGGTTTGCCCAGAAACCGTAAAATCCGAACCTCGTGTAGACCCAAGCCCAGAAACAGCTGGGGTCACTAAAGTCTCGAGCAGAATCAGAGCTGCTTGCCCTCCTCCCCTCACTCCCAGAGCCCACAGAGGATCTGCGGGGCTGCGGAGAGGAAGCTCCAAGGTGGCTCAGGTGCCGGGCCTGGGGAGGACACTGGCTGTAGGAACATCGGGCAAGGGCCTTGGCAGAGCTGAAATGGAAGCATGTAAACAGAAATACTAGTAAACTGAGGAAGATGTGTAGAGACCCTGCAATTACAGCAAGCAGAAGGTGGTAGAAGCTAAGGCCCCTTATGGTTTCTATTTCAATGTAAATATAATCTTATTTGTATCCACAGGAGGATGAAGCTTGATGTATTCAACTTATGCACATAAAGAACCAAGACATACCCATCGCACCCCCAGCCAAGTCTCTGCCCACTGAAGAGACGAATCTGCCAACCTCAGGCTTCCAGGGGACAACCAGAGTCTGTAGAGGGTCCGTGACTGAGAACTACGTGGCCTTTGCCCGAGAAGGAGGTCCTTGGCCGAGGGCAGTGTGGAATGGCAGCAAATGGCCCTGGGCCTGCTTTCTGTCTTCATCAGTGCACTCATTTATTCAACCAATGTTTGCTGAGCACCTAATATGTACTGTGTACTATTCTAGGTGCCAGAGATACTGGGGTGAACAAAAAGGACAAAAGCTCCTGCCATCATGGGGCTTACGTTTTAAAAAGCAGGCCGATCATAGGGCATGTTCTCAAACTGCATGGCACATTAGACCATCATGAGGGCTAAGGGTGGAAATAAAGCAGGGAAGTTGGACAGAAAGAGTATGACCTCAGAAAGGGTGGTCAGGAGACATTTCAGATAAGGGAGGTGGCATTTGAATGGAGCATGGAATGAGCTATGTAGACACTTGCATTCTCCAGGCTCGAATTGGGGTTCAGCTGTAGAGTCTGCAGGGCCCACACCCTGACCTCAGGTTGCCAGTTCCCCTGCAGCGAGAAAACGCTGATGTCTGGGGGACCCCAGAGTCCTCCCACTCTGGAGACAGGCGCAGGCTCAGCAAACTTCAAAGGGGCCCCTGTAAAGGCTCTTGTTACAAAGTAAGAGACCTTTACAATATGGGATATTTCCATTTAAAAAAAAATCCTTTTTACTAGAAAAGCAAACAATTTTGGGGAAACTGTTGCTGATACAAAGGCAAAAGAGATGGGGCTGTTTAGGATTAAGTAATGTACATACTGTGAAGCAGGATGAAACTTGTCTTTGGGAGGGGGAGTTGAGGGGCAGAAGGTAATATGCCCCTGCAGGTTGAGGTTTGCACACAGGATTGGCAAGTGCTGGCTTTCAGCAGAGCAATGGTTCGAAAAAGCAGGGAACTTTTCAGGTGAAGGGGGCTGGCTCGCTGAGACTTTGCTGATAAGTGACAAAAATTATGTTGTTAATAATGGACATTTTTAGTGTTAAAGCCTCCACTGAAACAGAATGCATAAATTAGCACTCTTAGGAGAACTGTTTAGAGGAAAGAACAGAATGGGGATCATGAACCCAATTAAGTGACATCTTTCAGGCCTCTGATGAGAAATTCCGGAGGGAATGGAGAATGAGTAAGATGCTCTGAATGCACAGAAACTTGGTAACGCTGACAAGTGTGTGTGCTTTGTTGCATAGCAGAATTCTCAGCTGATTTTATAACTGAGATTTATGTCTCTAACAAAATAAGGTCCGAGCAAAAGAATGACTCTGCTAGTTTTTTTCTGGGAGGGATTAGTTCTCTAAAGATATTGTTTAGTTTGCCGCATTATCATTTTTTTTCTAAATGGTCCACATTGCCCCAAGTGGGGACTCCAAATCCAGTGTCCCCATCAAATCCATTTCCCCATTGAATGAGGAATGCAGTAATACTATGCTTAAACCTCATTGCTATCTGTGAAGAACCCAATAAGAATCATTGGCATTAAGAAGGACTATTAAGGTGTCCAGACATCCCGCTTTGGGCTAGACAGTCCCGATTTTTAACAATTTGGGACTTTTTAAAAACACCGTGGGATGCAGGACAAATTGTTAAAAAGCAGGACTGTCCTGCCAAAAGCGGGACTAGTCACTTTATATATAGGGAAGGAAAAAAGTGCACAGGAAAAAAAAAAAAGAATTGCACATTGATTATTCCCCCCTTCCTCTCCTCCCCCGCCCTCCAACATCATCAAATAATTTATTTGGAATTCGAATGAAAGAATATTTGACAGTTGTTGAAATGTATGTTTATACTGATACTTCTGATCAGTTGTACAACTTATCTAGGGAAAATTACCAGATAAAAATGTACATTTCTTTAAGCATGGGGTTTTTCAATGTCTTCCAGTTTGGGATCTTCAAGTCTGAAGTCAGGGAACACAGTCATGTCTGCCATACCGTACATTTGCTTCTCCACTCGCTGATGCTCTGGGCCAGTACCAGCAGGTTCCCCAGCTGACTGTCGCTTAGTTCTGTGTCCTCTAACCTTGTCCACAAAGAGTTTCTGAACAGGATCAAGCTTCTTATCAAATGTCACAGCTGTAACGCCAGCATTCCTCCTCAAATGGGCCGAGACTGCAGACTGAGAGGCAGAGGAGAGCGGGAACAGTCTCTGAAGAATCCCGCCGACTCTGTCACTCACACTCATCCCAAGCTGCCAGGGCCACCGCCAATGCCATCGTCCTCCTGATTGCTTTCTAGTAAAACTGTTCATTCTACCACAAAGTTGAGGGAATTAAGCAGAAACAGATAGGTTTACTTAAACCCAACTGCTCTACTATGGTGCATGCTGCTTTAACCCTATTTTGACATTAGCTATTAAATAAATGGTGACATTTTTCACAGCTATGAAACAACTGAGCTGAAGTTATCCATATCTACAGGATTATTCTGTATTTAATTCTAATGTATAAGGGTTGGAAAAATTATTTGGCTATATAACAGACTCACAGATTGCACAGATTCTGTCCAACAAAATGGCTATTTGTCAGGAATTGTAACAGAGTTTTTAAAAAATTAAAACAGAAAATAGCAATAATAGCAACAATTTATTGAGTGCCTACTATGTGACAGAGATTTTACATGTTGTTTATATCTCTAATCCTTCCAACAATTCTGAAAAATTGTTGTTCCACTTATTCATGCATTCATTGCTTGATTACTATATATATATATATATATATATATATATATATATATATATATATATATCTCCATCCTGATTGGGTCAAATCACAGTCTGAGCATGCTGGGAAGATGCTCTAACTGAGCTACTCAACCAGGGGAAACCCACATGACAATTAATCGACAATCCAAAAAAAAAAAAGTATATTTTATGTTGTGTTTTTTTTAAAAGCATTTTTATGGCATTTTTGTTTGGTATTCCTAAAAGTTCTAAGTTGTAAGTAAAAAATCATTTGATTATGGGCCAGCTCTGCTGTACACCCACATTATCACTGACCTCCGCTGAGTCTGTTTCTTCATGTGTTAGAATGGGGGAGGGGGGGTGGTAATAACTCTCTCACAAGCTGTTGCTCAGACTCTTTAGCATGACATTCTATATAGAACCTTATGTTATCCGTTCCAGTCCAATCTACTGTTCCTTCTATCACGCTGAGTACCTGGCATCTTGCCCCTTTGAGCTTGTTTTTTTCCTCTTCCAACAGACCAAATAGTTCTGGCTCTATTTTATTCCTTATCCAGGGTGACCCAGCACTGCCTTGCCTATGGGTCTCTCCTCGGCTTGGAAACCTTTTCCTGCATCTTCAGCCTGAATTAAGGGTTCCCCCCGCACTTTTACATGAACCATAGTTTCCCATCTGGACCATGTCTTAATCCTTGAATACTGTGCTCTACGCAGAGCGGTATTCAATAAATGCTGAATCAGATCACTGGGTCAAATGAGAATTCTATTTTTAATTTTTTGAAGAAACTCCATACTATTTTCCACAGTGACTGCAGCAACTGCATTCCCATCAACAGTGCATGAGGGTCCCTTTTTCTCCATATCCTTGCCAGCACTTGTCATTGTTGATTTGTTGATGATAGCCATTCTGACAGGTGTGAGATGATACCTCATTGTCCTTTTGATTTGCATCTCTTAGATGATTTGTGACTTTGAGGATGTTTTCATATGTCTCTTGGCCTTCTGTATGTCCACTCTCATAAAGTGTCTATTTAAGTCCTTTGCCCATTTTTTATTGGACTGTTGCTCTTCCTTTTGTTAAGATGTTTGATTCCCTATAAATTTTGGAGATTAAGCTCTTATTGGATATAACATTGGTAAATATGTTCTCTCATGCAGTGAGCTTTCTTGTTTTGTTCATTTTTTTTTCTGTGCAGAAGATTTTTATTTTTATGTAGTCCCATTTGTTTATTTTCTCCTTAGTTTCCATTGCCTTAAGAGCTGTATTGGTAAAGATATTGCTACTAAATATGTCTGATATTTTGCTGCCTATGGATTCTTATAAAATTTTTATGCTTTCCCATCTTATGTTTAATTCCTTTATTCATTTTGAGTTTATTTTTTGTGTATGATGTAAGTTGGTGGTCTAGTTAAAAATGAAACTCCCATTTGACCCAGGAATCTCATTTCTAGGAATATATCCCAAAAAATCAGAAAGAACATATGCATCCCTATGTTCATAGCAGCACAATTTACAATAGCTAAGATTTAGAACCAGCCTAAGTGCCCATCAGCAGATGAGTGGATTAAAAACAGTGGTACATCTACACAATGGAATACTATGCTGCTGCAGAAAGAAAGTACTCTTACCAATCACAACAGCATGGATGGACCTGGAGAGCACTATGCTAAGTGAAATAAGCCGGTTGGAGAAAGATAAATATCATATGATCTCACTCATTTGTAGGATATAATGCACAACATAAACTGATGAACAAAAATAGATGCAGAGACAGAGAAGCATCAAAAAGACTATCAAACTTCAGAGGGAAGGCAGGGGACAGGAGAAGGGTGGGGTAAGATATCAACCATATAAGTATAACCAATGGACACAGATACTAGGGAGATCAGGTCTTGTGCTGGGGGGTGAAGGTGGCTAGAGAGAAGTCAATGGGGGAAAAGGGGAAAAGGAGACATATGTAATACTATATATAATATTTTAAACAATAAAGAATTAAAACAAAATCAAATAAAAATAAATGATGAATGAAGGAATGAACCTTCCGGATTAGTGCAAGGAAGGGGAGGGGAGAAGGCTTTTTCCTTAGCTATACTCTACTCAATAATTAGTTTAGTTGCCAGAAATACATATAAAAAACATCACTTTAAACACAGCCTTTTCCAGTGAGGATCTGAGTCTCAGCCACTTAAAATCTCTTGCAAAACGCCAGTAAAGACATGATTTGGAGGGAAGGTAAACAGTAATCCCCAAATGTTTTGATTGTGTACTCCTATTATGAAAAAGGTGTTTTAAAAATATCTTATATTTTTAGTGTAAATACACTTGAAATTTTAGATAACCCCAATATATTGTACATCTACTTACTAGTATTTATTTATAAAGCATGTATGTATCATACTGTATTAACATAATATAAAAGACATATACAGAAAATGAATTTTTTAAGTATAGAAAGAAAAATAAAGTTTTAATATTTTCTTTTTATATCCCAATAAATGGTTTGGCACAAGAAATACTAATCTTGGCTGAGCAGCTATATTTTCTAGTGCAAGAAAAAAAATCATGTTTTCTTTTCCTAGGCTATACCCTGATGCTGGCCATTTCCTCTCTTTATTCAGGTTCTCCTACAAGACCACCAACACTCTTCAAATGCTGGTGAAATAAAACAGGAGGGTTTAAAGCTCTGTGTGCTCCATCTGCAAATGTCACTGTTTAATCTTTTCAAAGTTTGCTGTGAAGTAGAAAACATGGCCATGTGACACTCAACAGATTATTCCTGAATTCCTTGTTTGCTTTCATTGTGACCTGACTCAAAATTTATCTTCATTTTTTTTCCTTCAAACTCCTAGGATATGTGGTCATATGATTTAAATGGAGAAAGACATTGTTAAAACATTTATCAAGGAGTTATCACTTTTACAATGGTCTAATACTGTAGTCATTCTCTGCAACTTAAAGAAAAATTTAATAAATATTAAAACAAAAAGTTTTTTGAAAATGTATGCAATGCTCACCGTGTTAAAACTATTTTAATTGTTTATATGAGTGTGCACCTCCACACTCCATCCCCTCCCTCTTCCCCGCCCCCCCCCCCACACACACACACACATACACAAGAGGAAATATCAGATGAATATTCTCTGAAAAGTTAACAAGGTATATTCCAGGATGCTGAGATTGAGGCTAATTTTTTTTTTTCTTTCTTGTGCATTTCTGTAATTTTTTAAACATTCTATAAAAGCCAAGTGTTTATTTGTTTAAAACAAGATTATACATATAACTAATTATAAATAATTTACATAGATTTCTGTATTACAAACTTCCAATAGAAAAATTTAAAATATATTTTACAGTTATTAGTAGTGAGAAGAAAATTGTATATCATTTCAATTTTATAATACCTTTAAAATTTTTTTAATGTTATGTTGGTTTTATGTAAGAATATTGCATTTTAAATAAAATGATTTACAATGGAGCCTCACATTTAAATTGAGGATAAAAAGGCAGCCAGAGAATGGATCCAGAAGATCTTGCAAAATAATGGAATCAAGACAGATAGAAAGATCCTAAATCAGAAGGTGGGTGTATCTGGAGAAGATTAAGGTTGTAGCAAATCCCATACAATCCAAGTATGTGATAGTCCTTGTAAGGAAAACCATCACTATAAATAAACTAGAGGCCTTGTGCATGAAATTTGTGTAAGAGTTGGCCTTCCTTCCCCCAGCTGCTGACACCCAGGACCCAGGCTTCCCTCGCAGCCCCGGCTTCTTCCAGAAGGACATCCAGTCTAATTAGCATATTATGCTCTTATTATGTAGAATTCTAGTCCCCCATTTTTTTAAATTTAATTTAATTTTTTTTTTTTTTTTTTTTTTTGCAGAGTCTCAATTTGGTTCAGATGCCCATCTTCCCAAGTGCCCAAGTTGATCTAAGCTATGTCTGATGGTTTCCTTCCTCTTGTCATTGACTTTTTTTAAAGATTGATTTCAGAGAGGAAGAGAGAGAGAGAGAAACATAATGATGAGAGAGAATCATAAATAGGCTGCCTTCCTCATGCCCCTCACCAAGGACTGAGCCCACAACATGGGCATGTGCTTGGACCAGGAATACAACTATAATCTCCTGGTTTATAGATCTACACTCAACCACTGAGCTTGGCATCATTGGCTCTTTTAAGCAATCTCTGCCATGGGACCTAAGGGCAATTCTGTGGGGATATTCCAGATAGATGCAGATTTTCCCCTCCTGATGAGGTGTAAATAAAATAAACCAACTATTGAGGTGTAAATAAAATAAACCAAGGCAGACAGGATTTGAGAGGTCAAAATTCTGGAGAGAATTCTGGAAAGATGCCCACACTTGCCTATAGCTCTATCCATGAATGGTGTGGGGAGTATAGCTGGAGTAAATGAGAACAGGGACCACCTCACTGGGTGGAGTTTTCTATTTCCATTGGATGAACAGATAGAGGCTGAAGTTTGGGGTCCAACAAGATTGAAAACTCTTGGTACAGTTGAGACTCCCAAGGACTCTACCATGGAAATAAGAACAAACCATGAAAAGGTCACACCTAAAAAAGCCTAAAACCCACCTTTTACTAGATCACGTTGATTTGAAAATACCAGTATTCTATCTGCCTTCCAGACAGAAATCTTTGGTTGAACATATCATCAACCAGCACCTGACAATTTTTCATACACAATGTCTGACAATCAATAAAAATTTTACCAGTATATGAAAAAAAATATTTTAACAGTATATGAACAAATGGGGTCAAATGGCAAAAACCAAAAGAAGAGACAATATACATAGACCTAACGGTGACTTTTAAACAAGAATGTAAAAGTAACTCTGATTAACATGGTTAAGAAAATCAAGATAAATGAAGAATTTATTTCATCAGAAAAATCATGGGAATCTTACAGGGGGTATAAGGTACTGGTAATGTTCTATATCTTGATCTGTGTGGTGATTAACTAGGTGTTATGAAAAAAAATCTATTAT